GCATGCATGCAACATGCTCTAATCTGGTACTGCCTGAGTTTATTTTGGTAGGTATTGTATCCTGGAATACAATACCTGGAATCCTTAACTAGAACAGGCAGGATGTCAAAATACTTCCAAAACCAGCTTAACCAAATGAAATCAGCTGAGCTGTGGAGATGTGAAATGCACATTTAGAAAGACTCAGAGCTGGAATGTAGGCGAGGCTAAATACAGGAATACTAGTGTTATGTGAATACCTAACAACAGCAGGAATATTACCAATAAGGACATTTATACATAACAGCATTTTTATTTCTAAATTAATCTGAATTGATAAACCTCTTAAAATGTTAAGTCAAGACTCCCAAATTCACTGCCCTATGGAGCTAAGAATTGTAAATCTTACTTCTACTGCTGGGGAAACTGAGGCAGAGAGGTTCAGTGACTTACCCAAGGCCACAGAGGGAGTCACTGTCAGAGCCAGGATTAGAGCTCAGGAGTTTCTGGCTCCCAGTTCCCAAGCTCAGACCACTAGACCATGGCCTCAGGATATTTCCAGCTGATCTTGAGTCTAAAAAAAAGTAAATTCTCAAGTATGTTACAAAAATGTAACATATATATATATGTATATTTATTTACGTGTATACATATATACATATATATATTTCTTTTTTTACCTGAATGTAATGGTATGAGTGAAAACACATTGCTCATAAGTCAATGCTGAAAATCATACCAGTATATTTTATCTGAGTTACCTTAATCATACATATATGTATGATAAAGCTCTGCTGAAAAAAATTATTATTTAAATTACAGCCAATACAAATATGTATTGTATTTTTCAGGGTAAGGAACAAATTGCCTTTCCAACCCAGCCAGCATGTCATTTATATTGATGGTGAGGCATTTATATTAATGATAAGTTGCTCTGTGTGTAAGTAAACTCTATTAAGAAAGTCAGGTCCCTTGGTGGAGCTAGATCCTTAGTAAATTTTACTAGCTAAGCACTGAGCTCCGTGTCAGAGTAATTACACCTTTTATCCACTGTGAGCTCTCTCTTAGCTTCTCCATATTCCTTAATTTCCCACTTCAGCTAATTTAGCAGTAAAATCACAAAGGTTTAAAAGGTTAGCTACTGAGGAACTGGCGCATGAATGTTCTGTTAAGCTCCGTGCATTGAAATCACATTATGTAGAAGAAGGAATTAATTAAGTAACAATTAGGTAGTGATGGATCATTGACAACATATCTACACTTGGGTGCTAAAAATTAATTTCCCCTGTAAAAACAATACATTGTGCATCTTCTCATCTATACACGATTGTTTTACACTTGAAATATAAAATGGAAAGGCCCTTCAGCAATTTATTTTAAAAAAAAAGGCATATCTTCTGGCACTATTAAATCTATAAAATATCCTTAAAAATCATATAGCATAATTTTAATAATTAATTGAGAAAGTAATGAGGATAGCAAAAGGAGAAGAAATTTTTAAAGGCAGGAGATTTTAAAGTGACTGTAAGGACATTTGTTACATGAAAGCACTTAGTATGTTAAAATTGCTAACAATTGTGTAGTATTCTCTTGCTATCTTCTTTTGCAAGTTGCCATATTGTTTCCTTGTATTGACAGTCAGCCTCTTAATACACAGATTGGCAGTTAGCCCAGTCAGTCCTTAATTCTAAAAGCCTCTTAGCAGATGAAAAATCTTTGGTTCATTCACACCTTGTAGAAAGAACAACAGGGCAGAAGTGACATCCAGATCCATTTAGAGTACACTTTGAGTCTGATTTTCCTTTGCCTTGCACCTTGTGTAGTCATTTATAGCTGTGCAAAGTGAGCACAAAATGGATATAGAACACTGCTACTCATGTGAGAAGAGAATTCTGATTTGGTTGCATTATTTCCAGAGGTGATCACAAAAAGTGCCAGCCAGTTGAAAAATCTGGCTCTGCATAGAATGTGTAAACAATTTTGACACAAAATATAAAGTAAAAAGCAGCAGACCTTTCCAAACATTTTACAGAAACTGCAGTTTTATTTTGCAGCAATGAATATGTTCAATTGCCGTTTGCTTGGAATTTCCATAGAAAGAATACTAAATGCTTAACTCATCTACAGAAAACAAATCCTGTACAAATTTCTTCCTTTCTTTTTAAGAACCATATTTAACTATGAGTACTAAAGTATATTCTCACTTAAAAGGGACCTCATGCCATCTATAAGTCTCTACAAGTCCTAAATTCCCACATGCTGCTTCTAAACCCAGTACTTAAAAGTTGTGTTTCTACAAAACCTCCTGGAATCAATGTGAAAAGCTGGTATTATCACAACAGCTGGTCTCAGTCCATCAGAGTTCAACACTGTTCTGACTTTAGTATGAGTGACAAATTATTGTCAGCATTTATCAGTGATATCTCTGCTATACGGTCTACTATCAGAATGATAACTCAAGACCTACTGCCAAAAATATCTTTTAGATGCAAGCTATATCAGCAGGAAAGAGCTGCTGATATTAGATTAATGAATGTGTTTTATAAAATTGACAGTTTAAAAAAAAGAAGTACCTAATCTAGATGTTGCTGGAGCTGTGGTCAAAAATTATATCTACTTCAGAACAGGTGCAGTAACTAATTCAATATGTCTGGACATTTTTTTCCCCATATTATCTTGTGGTCATTTTTCTGACCCTTCTCAGCCAGAAGTCCTTCCTAGTACACTTCTTTACCATGATGACATGATAGTGCATGGCAACTCGTGTGCTGCTTAGGAGCAGAAACAGCAGATACTGCATTAGCAGCTCTTGATCTAAGAATATTGCTGCAGTAAATAATGCCTCTTAGTGTTTCAGTTGGAATTTTTTTCTTTAATTGCAGTCATGAATTTCATGGAGTCATCTCACAACACAGTTTCCAAATTGACTATCATGGTCCAAAGCTTACTCTTCAACCAAGTAGCTAAAGAACATTTTCTTAAAAAATTCTTAATATTTTACTAATACTATATTATAGGCAGGGTTTTGTATTTGTTTTTCTTCTTGTCTTTTTTCCCCTCTCCCTCTTCTGCATTCAGAGCTTCTGTAAGCATTCTGAGTTGCTAGTCTGGCTTGACTGGAAAGTACTGCGTGTTTGTTGTGTGTCTGCATGTGTGATACCAACTGTTGAAGACTGCTTGATGTTAGATGAGGGCTCAGAGCTGTTCTACACTTGTCTCTCTGGCAAAATCTTTCCTTACCAATGACAATGATGTATCTGTGTGGGGAGAGTCTGTTTTACAATATTACACTTGCCATGGTCTTAATTTTACTGATGGGGCATGATTATGATTTCATTTACATTAATCAAATTCATGAGTCATTCCATTCATGTCAATAGCATTAAAGAGCTATAGGGACAAGTAAGAGTTCAGAATCAGGCTTCTGGTGTTTAATCTAAAAGCATATCTGAATCACTTCATTAAAGACAGAAACTGAAGGATAGATCCTCTGCTTACTTTGCATTACTCAGTCATGCCATTAGCATTAAACATCAAATAAAGAGCTAAAATGACAGCTGGCAATGTGTCACAGTACAAGGGTTTTCCGTTTACCTCAGATATAGAAAACACCCCTGAATTAACAAGATTTAAGACTATATTCCAAGTATGACAAACTTACGGTATTAGATCTCCTTGCCCTTGAATGTTGGCACTAATGTTCAAAAACTTTCTCTTTCCCTTGGGATTTTTTTGGGGGTTTTTTTGTTGGTTTTTTTTTCTTTTTTGGTTTTTTTTTTTGTTGTTGTTTTTTGTGGGTTTTTTTTGGGGTTGGTTTTTTTTTAATACAACTCTTACATAACTTGAATGCAAAAGATTTACATAGCTTGAATGCAAAAGATCTAAAGACAAACTATATTTAAGTAAGACCTCAGAGACAAGTTTTTTATTGCCCTGTCCATAAGGAATATATCTGGATACATAAAAACAGTGATTACAAGACACAAAATTTGTTTTGCAGGTATCTTATAAAGCATTATCAAATCTCCTTTTTAAAAAAACGTGAAATAATGTTAATTTTTCAAATACAGGCATTCTAAAACAATAAAAGTTTTTATACTGCTGTCTGTCTCCTGCTCAGACAGAGAAATTGTGCAGGGGATGATGGGCATTAATTTAGTCCTCAGTGATAAGTACTTTTAAGACTAAATATTCTTGAAATTGCACTTATTTAAATTACACTCAGCTCCCTGTAAATCTAAAAAAAGATTATAAGGAGGGGAAATAATTTCAAGAGGCCTAGCAAGTTAGCAGAAAATTGCTCTATTATATCTCTTCAGATTTTTTCCATTTATTAAGTCAAAGAATTACTGGCATTTGAGAACATTTTCTAGAAATCTGTTTGATACATTATAGGCCCTAGAAACTATTACAGTCATACATGCTTTCAGCTTCACCACAAGCATATGCCCCAAGATACCTAATCAGAGAACTGAGGGATGTATCAACAAACCAGAACCAAAGCAAGCTGGGAAAAGGGATCTTTCCCTATATTTTCTGTAGATCTCACTGAAAACCAAAGACCTATCTGAGCAACTTGTTTTTCCAGTACAGCTGGAATTGCCAAAATATTTTCTTTGGAACTCCCAGAGAAAGCTTTCTTTTCACCCTGTTAGACCACACATTAAATTTTTCACCCAACACTAAGGCAGCAGAAGTTTGTATATGTTGAAAGAATAAAATACTGTCTTCAGGCTGGATACAAATGTTAGTTAAGCCACTGGTGTCTTAGGAGAAAACCTTGATACAGTATCTACTCTTAGTAACCACGGGAATTATACATTTTCCTTTGTTATCTTTTCCAGTGTTGTACTTTGTGATATTACTGTGTATTTCAGCATGCACACTTGGGCACACAGATTAATTATGAGGCAATAAACTTTACATAAAAGTGCTGAAAAACAATTAAAAATCTCACTTGTTTTGAAACAAGCCAAAGTGAATAAGAAAGTGAAGAAGTATAGAACAGAGAAGTCACCTACCGTGGTTGTTTTTATCCGTCCTCCTGGTTGTGTACAGGTCCAGCCTGATTTATTGATTAGCAAATCACAGCCTTCTCCTTCTAAACATGGAAGCATTTCACACCACTGTTTTGTTTTGATAATTCGTGCTATGAAACAGAAAAGGAAGAAGAAAAAACAAAACAAAAAACAATTGGCAGAAGAATTCACATTTTACTTATCTCTAAACACTTTCTCATTTGAGTTGTCTATTTTCATAATCTGATAATTCAGCAATAGTTTATGATGTAGACAGCCCTAGGCAGTTTACAAAATTATTTACAACACCTGCTGTGCCAACAAATTCAATTTCAAACTTAAAAACCAATGAAAAACAAAAGACAATTTTATTATAAATCAAAATAACATAGAAATAGATGGTTTTCTAATTTCGTGTCCCTTCCAATGAGGGAAACGTTGGGGAGAACTAATAATTGGAGACTTACCATCCTAACTAATCATTATGGTGCCCCACAACCGTGATCCATTGTGTTAGACTCTCTACAAACCCAAACAGATAGTCCTTATCCTGAAGTGCTTACACTGTAAATAAACATACAGGGGAAAGAGAAAAGCTATAATAAACAAAGGGGTCAGTTTAATGACAGCTATTGAGAAACTCTGTGATACTTGCAATGGTAGGGGTATAGTCAAGGGCAGAAACTAGGAACATAAGAAGGACAGGTATTAAATGAAGCAAAGGTTGAGAAACCATGGGGAAGGAGACAATAAGCTGTGGGAAAAGACAGGATCAAACAGCCTATTAATACAAAGGAAAAGAAGTCTAGTTAGGAAGGTTTCTAACAGAAAGCTGGTGTGATAACATGTTTTCTATCTACTTTCAATGCTTGTGTCTCTGGCAAGCCAGTTCTGCAAAATTTCCACAAGGTCACACACAGGATGTAGTCTTGGAACAACTGAGCCCTGGCTGCAATAAAGTAAAAGCAAAGGAATTGTAAGGAGAATTTTTTCCTCAAGGTAGGGAGAGAAGGGGCTTTAATACCTGTAGATCTCTTTCTGGACTATAATACTACTTCTTTTGAGTTCATCTTTGTAGTATCTGGGTTCCTTCTCATAGAATACAAACAATATTACTAATATCTGGTATTCTGTTATTCTTTCCCTCTTCACTGAAGACAATATTGTACAGTGGAGTGTTTAGCATACTTTTCATAAAATGCAGGTACAGAGAGACACTTGCACAGTGCCATATACTCATGCTAAACAAGGGAAGGTCTCTAACTTTTGCTCAAACTATAAGGCTTTCAGTCTGCAGAAAATGGTCCTGTTCCTCCATGGATCATTTCAGCAATTCTTGGCTGCACTATAGGAAAGCTTCAGCACTTCAATTTATACATTAGTGTCCTTGCATTCAAGGCCAGAACTTGTCCCAGATAGAGGGACACAGATCATGCCTTTCTCTATGTTGATGTGTGATACCAATAGACATAACACACCTTCAGTAGTCATAAGCCCAGCAAAAAGAGGATTATAGGAGAATTACTTAGTGAAATAAGAGTACAAGGTGCTTATGCTGTACTAAATCAATTTAGGGTCCAAGGACACTAAAAGTAGGCATTTATCCCAGTGGCAGCTGCAGCTTTATGCTTACCTGAACATGTGATTCAGCCTGACTTCTTTTGTCTGGAGCTACTTAAGAATACAATTCCCAATGCCAATGGATCATGGCAAGAAGTAGAAGCACAATTTAAAGTCTTTTAATAAAGCCCTAAAATATTTTGACACCAAACAACTTGTGTCCTCAGCTCTGGTATAATTCTTGGTAAGCTCTAGTATAACAAAACCTGATTTCTTTCAGTGGAAGCTCAATCTGATAGTCATATTAATATTTTAATTATAAAACCTCTTTAGCACCTAAACGTCTACATAGGAATTTGCACTGTTCATTAGGCAATATATAAATCAATGGTGAAATTATTCATAACTACACTATTTTTGAAGCGACTCTACTATGGTTTTTAGCACATAATACATAAAAATGTGGATTGTACTTGGGCACCAGAGGTACTGCTCCACTGGTAACTGGATCATATCAGTTTTTGAGACTAACCCTTTCTTTGTAACAGATAACAGCCTCATCCTTTCAGTGAAGGCCTACATCCAATTACAGGCTTAACAGAAAAAGCTCAGTAAAATGCTAACACCAAATCTGACCTACTTGCATGCATATCTTTCTTAATTCACATATCAAAATGGCTACTTCTATAAATGTTTCAACAATCTGAGAAAACACTGAAAGACTGAATAGTAGGCTAAACTCAGAAATATCCACTAGATTGCCTTTACTAACTCAGCTAGGAGGTTTTCTAGGAAACATGACTTGAAGTAATCTTATTGAAAAAGTATCTCTTAATTACTTTTAGTGTTTGCTTGGTTGCTATTGGTACTATCACAAACCCATGAGGTCCTTGCTCTGGGTATTGGCCATATCCACACAAATTTAAAACACACCAAGGGTATTTTACATAATATAAATTCTAAAACATTTCTGTGCTGTGTATAGACCAGCTCATGCATTTAGACTTCAGAATCAGAACTTCTTTTGTAGGGAAAAGCTAGCTAGCTCACCTGATTTAAAGCTAATCAGTATCAAAACTGTGCCTCCTCAGCCCCAACGCCCTCTTCCAATCCTGCTTCCTGCCAAGATCTCTTCCCCATTACTGGTTTTACATCCCTTTAATTCTGCTTCTCCACCCACTCATTGCTTTGCTTCAGGAGCCTCACCAACACACAGGCCCTCACACACAGTGCCACGAGGGAGGCCTGTTCTTGTCTGCAGGACTACATCTATTTTTTGCATTTTCACTTTTCAGTTTGCACATTATATCACAGTATGAGAGTGAAGCTCAATGTGTAATATAGGAAGGGAGCAAAATGTACAACAATTTTTATCAGCATAATATCAAAGAGTTTTCATCAGTAATTGAAACTGAGTTATACTAGTCAAAGCAAAGGAATATAGTGTATTTCCTGAGGCAGTGTAGTTGCCTTTTTACTGTGTATATTCACCAGGGGTGTAATTCAGCCCTCTGCAGACAAGAGAGCAAAAAGCCTATCAGCTTCTTCAAATCCACTCTGAGCTCCATTTTGAAGAATTAAATGATACACAGGCTTTGTGCAGAGCTTCTGCAAAGAACTGAATTTCAGCTTTAGAATCTGTGCTGATAGTACCTTGCATCTCCTAAGAAGGGCTGTGCCTCTTCACTCAAACTGGAGTTAACAGGCACTGGCATTGTTCAGCACATGGTAGAATTGCTTTCCTGGGTAGTGCCATTTGAACTGGAGAACAAATGGACTCCATCCAAGGGCTTTTCAGGCAAACAGTTTTGAGGCATTGGATGCAAGCAGATATGTCATCAACATCACGACAGACTACCCACCAATGCGATTTAACTATTTTGTAAGACAGAGAAACTTGCAATCCAGTTATTTGTAGAAAAAGTCTCCATTCATGATGAACAGTCAAATTTAAGACTGCTCAACTGAGCAGTGTTTCAGAACATCACAGATTGTTTTCTGCTAAATACTGCTAGTAGATAAGCTTTGTCAATATTCTTCTCACTATTATAATATTAATATAATATTAATATATGTCATATATATAGACATACATATATACACACATACATACACATATATATATATATAACATATATTTCCTGTGGAAAATCAGGCTTATTTTCTAAAAATTCTTTTCCCAGATTCCACCCACACTCAGGGAATTATCAACCTCCGCATCTCTAGTCAATCTTTTAACTGAAAATCATCAACTGTTTGTGATAGCAAAAAAAACTAAGTATTTTTCAGCAGCAGTAAATACAAAAACTTACAGCCATCCAAAATATGGTAAATTAAAATGCTCAGATTGTTGCAGTTTGTTGTCTCTTTTTTTTAATGTTGGGGAATGAATTAGGGAAACAAAAGTAAAAATGTTTATTTTCACTGAATAAGAATATTGATTGAGACAGCATTTGGATACTGACACTTATGATTTCAGAATACATTATGCTTCTATGTACAAAAGGTGTGTGCAAAGTGAATATAATATTTTTAATGTATTTATAAAGTATAATCAAAATCATGATGCATAAGCCTAAATAAAGCTAAGTGCAAAGTGAATATAAATATTTTTAATGTATTTATAAAGTATAATCAAAACCATGATGCATAAGCCTAAATAAAGTTTAAAAAAATGTAGCAGAGAAGATACATTGAAGTAGGGACTAGGGAGAATTTTTCCCAAGAAAAACACATTTTGAAACATACTTCCTAAAGGAGAACTTATCTCAACTATACTTTTTCCTGAATGATGTTCTTCTTCACTTATTTTTATTTTTTTAATGGTAATTTTTAGCACTTAATGCAAGCTGTAACATAGGCATTAGAGAAAATACTTCCTCTTTGACTTTCATATATTATTTCACTGTGGTTTTCCTTTTGGAGGAAGCTGATCAGCATAGCAAATTCCCAAGGTTCAGAAAGGCCTTTGGCTTCACCACTTCAGAAGTACATAGACAATCACATTCATCTTAGTGTATTTTGCTTGTCCTATTAACACTAAATAGGGCCACGTCTTGTATAATTATTCACCTTCAAATGATCCCAACTGCTTTCATAATCCCACTCATCTCCTGTCCTTTTTAAAATGTTATCTGATATTTTTCCTTTTTCCATTTTTTTCAACCCTAGTTTTTTTTCTCTGACCATTTCTCTCCTCTGCCTGACTCAGAACTTATACACTATCTACCTACAAAGATGTTCAAACATCTTGCAGAGCTTCCTATGTTCCTAGTTTTATCTATGACTGGTAAATGCTGTTCATTGTCCCCATTGTGCACAGAGGTTAATCACCTTGGCCAAGGTCACATGAGAATTTGTTGCACAGCTGGAAACAAAACCTCTGAATTCTTAGTGATCACTAGACTGGAGACCTTTCTGTGTCTCCTTCCTTCAGAGACAGAGTGTACTTTAATATGTATACATAAAAAAAATTAAACAACAATAAAAAATATACAAAGTAATATGCTTTCAAAAACATATATCAGTTAAATTGCAGCAGCAGGAAAAAGGCAATCTGAAAGACAAACTG